ATATTGTCGTAGAGCTGTATATTTCTTCTTAATCATGTGTTTAACATCCCGGTCTATCCAAGGTGGTGTGTTGGTGTCAACGACTGTCTTTTTAGGTACAAATTTATCTATCGCTGTGATAAATAGATCTTTCCATGCTTTCCAACATTCGTCAATATCTGAATTATTGGATATCGCAGAATCGAGCGGGACATTCATTAGATGTTCACGAGCACCGTCGAAGTTTGCATTATTGAAGTCATACACTGTTCGTCTTATCGATTTTGCTTTTTGAAAACAAACTTTGATATCGAACTCGATAAGGTAATGATCAGTTGGAAATAGATCAGTTGGATTTGTGCAGTTCACGTTCGTGATGAGCTTCGGAGAATTCGAGAATACACAGTCCAATTTATTACCATGCAGGTGAGTCGGACCGACAGCTTTTTGGTAGAGGAATTGATCTGTAATAATCTCGCAAAAAAGCTCCTCCTTGAAACTGCCTTTAGATGTGGGAGAAGGAAAGTCCAATGACCAGTCAATATTGGGTAGGTTAAAATCACCGACCAGAACAAGTTGACATAATTCATCTAAACGATCAAGAGAGTCTCTCAACTCGATTAGTGTAATCTTCTTCAGAATTTGGTGGTCTATAGAAGAGACTTAATAGGAATTTCGAGCAGTTCGCAGGATACAGTTCGATCATGAGATGTTCACTTTGTTGACCTTCAAGTAGCAGTCTTCGAGATGAGCGCAGTTCATTTCTTATCGCTACAAGGACTCCGCCACCTCTCATGTTCCCGTGTCGGTCTTTTCTATGAATGGTGTAACCGGGTAGAATTTCGTTATCAAGAATTAATTCATTTAACCAGGTTTCGCACGCACATACGATATCATACTGTTCGAGATAAACAAGATTCTGAAGAATGGTCAACTTACTGGTTTTCTTTGCCTTGTCGTCCGTAGATTCTGCGGTTGCCTTTAGACTACGAGCGTTTAGATACAAAGCTCTTAAACTGTTCAGTTTTGCCCCAACTTGTTTTCTAGAGCTACTCAAAGCTGGTCCTGGATTAGGATGCACATCGCCACAGGCTAGAATAGCGGTGGTAGTCAAGTTGTATGACGCAGTGGTATTGCTGTAGTACTGAATCCTGGACTTGAGCCATTTGTGCTTTGTTGGGATTGACGCAGGTACTTTATACGAGTGGGTGGGTTTGCCGATAACGGAATATGAACGGACAACGTTCGATACGAATACGGTACAGCCGCGATACAAATGGCCACATGAAGTCACCGCGAACAAACTTTGAAGCAGTTTATTGAATGCAACATAATTCTGGCAAGATCTTTAATTCTACTTATTCTAGTATGGTAAGAAAAGGATAATTGTCATATCAATGTGTGTTACAGTATAACGGCTGTTTATATGAAAGCCAGACTGAGCATCACAAAGCGTGATAGCTAGTCATATATACATCAAATTTCTTCTAAAGACTGAATATTTATTTAAGCTAATAGATAAGGGTTCAGAAAATTTGTTGCAGTAGCACTTTAGAAAATATGAAAACGCCAAAATTATCCAGGTAGGGGGGATTAAGTTTTCATGTAAAAAAGAAGCCAAATTCCTCTTGCATTCTTACAGGGATGGATGTACTGGGGGATGCACCCCCCTTAACATTGGCAAAGGGAGTGCAAAAAGGGAGTGGGGGGGGGGGTCATCAAATATTTTTGTTCTCAATATTTGGAAAGGCAATACCTTGTTACCATTACCACAATAATGACCCTCACTGCTATGTGTAGCTCCAAATGATTACGGACTTGGTCAACGGTCGTACCCTGAACCATGGGTCGATGTGCACACCCTCCATTTGTACAGACAACTTATATAATACAACACCGAAATAAATTGAATGAAGCCAAGAACATTTTAAATTTCAAATATTCTTGCTGCATCTAAAGACTGTTTAACCAATTAAATCAATGAAGGTGCACGGTGAGATACAGTTCAACATCAAACACTAGGTCTTCTATTTTGTAGCTATGAAGTTTGCAGGCTTGGACCATCATGTCTTGACAGACTATGGTTTGGTCTATAAAAGACTTGAGTTCCTTCACTGTGCCTCGTACAAAATCATAAAGAAAGTTGTCAGATATATATCACAAGGCGTAAAATTGCATTGCGTATAACTCTTTATAAACAACTCAAATAAATATTAACCTTAAATTTACCTTCCTCTTCACAGAATAGTAATTGAAAAACTATTTGTTTGACCCGTCGAAAAAATAGTTGTTTCATCTTGGAACTATACATTAATTATTCAGATTCACCTGCTTTTGTTGGTGGGTTTATTGCTTTACGATCAAGATATGCATCGGATACGTAAATCGTGTACAGTACAGTTCCTTTTTTCGTCATAATTATATTGGGGATGATCAATTTGCATATAGAAAGGGCATAATTCTACTATGGCCCTAATAAAATATCAACATATGTGGTTAGAAAGCCTTGATGAAGGTGCTAAATCAGTTAGAGTAATCTCATTTAACTTTAGTAAAGCACTTGATAGTGTCCCACATGATATTTTGTTTAATAAAATCAAGAAAATATCCATTAATCCATATATTATAAACTGGATGATTGACTTTTTGAACAATCGCACACAGAGAGTGAAAGTTGAAGGTGTCACAACTGAATTCCTAGGGTACTGTACTTGGACCTATAATGTTTACTATAATCAATGGTCAATGATATCAAGGCAGCGAATCTCTTCAATGACTTGTCTAAATTTGCTGATGATATTGCAATAATTGTACCAGTTTATGATTACGAAGATTCAGCTGGGGATGAAGTAGAAAACATGAAACTATGGTCAAACGAGAATAGAGTGACTTTAAACATGGAGAAAACCTATGAAATGATAGTTTGCGGAAAGGTGTCTACTCCCCTTCCGGGTCACATTCCATCCATAAAACGGAAAGAATGGCTCAAATTATTGGGTGTCACGATGGAAGATATAACTGGAAAATGGGATAAACATTTTGATCATGAGAAGATGATGAAAAAAGCTAGTAGAAGAATGTACATTCTAAGAGTTTGTAAACATTACGGACTCTCTACGCATCAATTGGATCTTCTCTTCAATAGTCTTAATAGTTTCTCTTTTTTTTCTTTCTCTTTTTTCTTTTTTTTTCCCTTTGCAGCCGAAGTTTGTGATGGAGCATCGTACAACGAATACGTGACTCAGATTGATAAGTTTGGCAATCGTGCCGCCTATTGAATTGATTATACAAGCAACAGATCAGATTTTAAAGCAGCAATATCGAACAGAGACAAGAAATTATGATGATAAGAATGCTTTACACAATCTTTTACCTAGTAAGTTAAATCGACCTTTACGACGGAGAGGTCATGACTTTGAACTACCAAAACGCGTTTATAAAATAGATGTCTTTTCAATTCTATATAAACTTTATATCTATATTCTTATACCTTAGAATTTTAAAGTACTAAAAATTGATGTAAATAACAGTAACAATCTAATTGAAGTATTCTTCATATGTAAACTCAGACGTTTGCTGTGAGTATTGAAATAAAGACTTTTACTATTCGTATTATTATTATAAAATTTTGTCAAGTGAACTTATAAGTTCCTATGTTGCTTTCCTTTACAAAAAGGTTATCGATAAATGCACAAAGTTGTTAATTTGCATTTATTTTACATTACACACAAATACAGAGTTCTTCAAATTATGCAAATACATATGCATAAATTAATATTTAAATATTATCCTTGACGTCACAGACAAGAAATGTTAGCCATTGACCCAGCCGTTAGTGGGGCGAGTGCCGAGACCCAAACGGCTGTAATCTGAGCCTACTTGGTTGAGTTATTTTAAAGAGCGTAGCAAACAAAATAGTCTTACTTTAGTATGCAAACAATAATTCAGCTTCTTATTTAGTTAAATAGTCATAAACAGAATGATAGCTAATATAAGTTCATAGATCTAAATTTATTGTAAATTTTTAATAATTTTTAATCTGTAATACCACTGTAATTCTCTGCCAAAGGTGGTAAGTAAAATCTACTATTATTAATATATGTGTGTTTATGTAATGTGACGCAGTTTCGTTCTATACTGTTGTACTCAGGGGCCGCGGAACAGAGGGGGGCAATGGGGGCATGTACCCCCTACTTTCTTTAAAAGGGAAAAAGGGTCCTTTTTTCTGGGCTAAAGTGCCAAATTTAAATAATGAAAAATGTATTTCTTGAATGAACGCCCTCTTTTGCTGAAAAGAAAGTGCCTTTTTGCAGTAGTAAAGACTCTCTAAAGGACATTTCCGATGTTATAGAGACTTCATATTTTCAAAAATTTTCGTTCAGCTCGTGAACGACATACAATCGCTTGATCTTGATCATATTAGCCAGCGTGGCCGGCTCTTTTATAAATAGAGCCTGCCCGAAAGCCCTAGTCAAATTGATGACTCTCGGCAGCCAGCCGCCGAGAATTGTGATTGGCTGAATTTACGTTGAGCACAGGTTGTTTGACATGTTACGCTAATTTATTCAAATATTTAAAAATAACTACTGTAACGAAAGGCCTTCGCTCGAAACGTCGAGTTTCTGCTTATTTTTTAAGGTAGTAATATAACCACTCAGCACAGCATTTTCACATTGGTACTATACCTACACTGATACAGACAGTTTTAGTACTGTAAAAACAAACGGCATCGCTATATTAAAGTTGTAAACCTGTCGGCTAAAATATAAAATTCAAGACAAAGTGTAAAATGTATAACATATACCGGTACTGATCTAAACAGAATAAGGCAATTAATTATTATTATGACGTAAACATACACGTACATCGCCTTTATTTAAAACACGGTAAACCTTCAGTAATCAGTATTACATAATGATCGAAATTATTCTAAACTTAAAGATATTTGGATTTACATAGTATATATATATATATATATATATATATATATATATATATATATATATATATATATATATATATATATATATATATATATATATATATATATATATATATATATATATATATATATATATATATATATATAATTTCGCTTACCTCAAAATTTCGCAACAGTCTGTTTCATCAGTAAAGAATCATCAGGCGGTATGACAAGTTTCGAAAATAGGGCTGCTTATATGTGTTTTTGCCGAAACGTGGGGGGGTGTGGGTGAAACAAAGCATGCATTCATCTATTGTTTGCGTTGTTTACGCGGAAATGCCTAATCGAATTGTGGGAGTGTATTGTTTACGTTGTTTACGCGAAATTTCTTCCTATGTCTGCACGTAGATATAATTTCCATTCTTTTATTGAGTAAACAGTTTTGGTTTTCTTTCAAAATACAAACTTTTTCCTCTAAACATAAATTACATCGTTTTGATCCTCCCGTATACGAAATAGCGCGTTTCAAAATTTGCCAATTGATATTAAAATCTTTCTTGTTATCTTTCAATGTCCAAATATATTTCGAAAGTTCAGTTTTGTTCGAGTGCTCTTTATGCTCGAAAGTATAGTTATGGTTAGCCAAACGCTCTTTAAATGTAGTTGATGTCATGCCAATATAATTCATGATCGTGTTAGGGGTGCTTGTTGTGACTGTTGCTTTGTATACTATGTCCTTAGTCATGCATTGTTTCTGAAGTGGGCGAACAACTGCAATTGCAGTGCCCTTGCCCTGTGCCTTGTTCTTCCTAGCTACGCATGTGCAGTGTGCTTAGTGATTATAGACTTAACATTGCTCATGCAGCTATAACTTACTTTTACTGTATTTCTGTTAAAGATCTTATGCGGCTTGTGGTTGAAATGCTTGTCAATAAGGTTAAGAAAATTACGCCCTATATTAGTGCTGACATTCATGCTAAATGATGGGTTGAACCAAATGATATTACGCTGCCTATTTCTGCGTGCTTGCTGTGGTGCGTGTTGAGTGTAGTTAAGTTCATGATTGAAGTTGCTATGGTCAAGTGCGTTTTGGTATGCAGGTGAAGATTCCATAAATGTTTGCTCATCTGATGAAAGCAGTGCAATGCGCTTGTTAATTGATGTAGGTAGCTGCCTTATATAATGCTAGGTGGATGGTTAGAGTACCTTTTTATATATAGCGGATCGTCATTGGGCTTCCTATAGGGCCTATATTTTCCGTTGTTAATTATAAGATCGAAAGTTACATCTAAGAAGTTTGCTATGCGTAAATTTGATTCGGCGGTAATTTTTATGTCAAACAGCTCGAAAATTTTGTGGAGTTCTTTCCTTGTTTTGTCTGCTAAACCTGCCGATTTACTATTTATAAGGGCCAAACCGTCGTCTCTATATAGACCGATGCTTTCTTTGCCAAACTTCTTACTTAGATGATTTAGGATGAAAAGGCCAACTAATTCACATATTTCGGCGCCATATGGCTGCCCATGGTAACGTCAAACAAACCTGCACTATCTTTTTTAGTCCATGGTTTTCCGGTGTTGAAAAGCAGAGATTTTCTGGCGTGTTTTATAATCAAAATATCATTATCCGAAATGGTAGTTAAATTAGAAGCATAAGATAATGCTTGGTCCAAAAGTTTTTCCGAAATGGATGGGTAAAAATCAACGATGTCAAACGAAATAAAACTATGTCTTTCTTTGTCTTTTATATTTCCAAACCATTCAATTACTTGTTTTGTATTTCTCCACTGGTTCAAATTCATCTAATATAATTTTGCTCAATTTTCCTGATTCGCTTTTAGCGGGATTAATTAGCCGACATTTTGGATTGTTTTCAAAATTTTCTTTGTGGTCTTTTAAAGATATAAATGCTTCACGTTTTTTCATTTTTTCAATTTTGTCGCCGATTCCTAAATTGTTCGAAATGTCTTTTAGTTCAGAGTCAATTTCGTCTATAGTGTCCTCGGATCCATGTTTATATGTTTTTGTAATGTTGTCATGTAAGAGCTTGTTGTATGTGTCGAGCGAGGCTTCATAAATATTTCTAGTTTTGTCTGCAAATATGAAAATGTTGGGAGATGAATTAATTTTCTTCAAATCGTTACCCAAAGATTTCTGAAAATGGTTTTTCCCTGGTCGAAATTGTATATTTTCGATGAGTTTTATAAGGTCGGTTTCGAATAGCCTGCGTGCAGCCTGACTTTAAATGGAGAGAAGTCAGTCTGCGAATCAGAGAACAATACCGTGTTCGCGCCATCTTTTGAATTGCATGGATTTCTGTATTCAAACGTGATTGGCTATTGCTCAGGAGCCTAATACACACGCTACGATTGGCCAATTCGTTAATATACATTTAGTTCAAACAACATTCCAGAATGAAAAATATGGCGGACAAAATCACAAAGAGCAATGTTGTGTGTAATTTATGCACGAAGCACATACAAAAGATATGAAAGCGTTCTCATTGAGGTTCCCACGACGCCATTTTGCTAAATATATTATTTTTTTGAACTGAATCTATTAACGAATGGCCAATCGTAGCGCCTGTATTAGGCTTCTGAGCAATGGCCAATCACGTTTGAATATACAGAAATCCATGCAATTCAAAAGATGGCGCGAACATGGTATATTGTCCCCTGATTCGCAGACTGACTTCTCGCCATTTAAAGTCAGGCTGCACGCAGGCTAGTTTCGTTTAGCAGACTGATCATCATCGTGTGTCGTCATCGATCCGTGTCGTTGAACAATGAAAAAATTTGTTGTGAAATTAGCGAAGATAAAAGCAGTTTGTGCGGGAAGTTTTCAGATTTGAACTCAGCGTGTTTGGAAGTGTTAGTTCCCATAAAATATTTCAGTTCCAAGACATGCGTAATGAAAGTGAACGATAACGGGACGCAGCAAACGGCCCAGGAATTTTAACTAACGGACTTTTTCCAAAGGGCAAAGGGACAATTTTCCGAGAAAAAGAGCCGATTTTTTCTGAACTTTATTGGGTCGCTTACACTATATATCAAAGTTTCTGTGATAAAAGTTATTGTTGACTTTGAGCTATGCTCAAAAGATGCACATGATTGGGGGGCTAATATCCTAGGAGATTCACCCCCTTTTGAGAGGGGGCGGATCTCCTGGGGGAGGGGCGAAAATCCCGTGACACCGGGTTTACGAAAGTGTTAGGTATTAACATGTTGGTAACACTTTCCCACACCTATTTCAATTTTAGCAGGTAATTATGTGTGGATTGGCCTTAATGACATTGCTGAAGAAGGCACGTTTGTTTGGACAGATGGTTCTCCAAACACCTATGCGAAGTTTACTG